TGCAGTTGTACCAGCTACTTCCATGTGGTTCCCACGGACCGAGACAAATCCAACAAAATTCCATGCGACATGCTGTGTTTTTGCAAACCATATGGTTGCATCCACCATCTTTTTCGATAGTAACCTGATATAATACTGGATGGAAAAGGAGAAATTACACAACAGCATATGTCTCTAACCTGACACTTAGGGCACTCCTTTGTATTAGCGTTGATCCAGTTACTAGTTTCTGAATCATCGCTACACTTTTTCAACCAAAGTTTCAGCAGGCGACAATTGACTGGCTCGTGCCATTCGTGTGCACATCCAAAGCAGAAACGCATCCCGCAAGAGCAAACGACAGGGCGCGGCTCCGAATAGCCCACCTGGAAGTTTTTAAGATTGAAGATTCGCATACAGTTTAAAGGTTGAGCTGAGGTTACCTACATTCACATTATATATACAAGAGGGAAAAATCTAAGCCGTCCATTGATGGAAATGCTGTATTTTAGAACTATTTTTGTCTGAGTGCGTTGAGACAAGAATGTAGAATTAACTGACGGGTTCCGCCTATGCAGCAACAGGGAGAAAACAGATGAAAACTAGTAATGATTGGAAGACAAGATATCAGCAATACACAGATACAACGAAAATGACAAGCGAAATCAAATCAACCTCAAAACACATCACGAACATCCTACCAAAAAGATAAATATTAGGACCTCAACCTTGAGCGCCTTTCCACAATCGAGACCTGGACACCACTTCAGAAGACGGTTTCCCTCGACGAAGCTATTGATTTTTAAACGTTGGTAGGCACTACGCACCGCTTCACTTTTTATGTACTGCATCACCTAGAAAAATCGATTCTTAGTGTATTTTAAAATAAAAAAACGAGCCAAATTACCTTTTCGTCTTGAATGAGCAACTGGCAGCCGTTGAAAATGCACTGAATCTCACTTGTAGAATCGTTCATGATCTGCAATAAATTTTATGGGATATATCTAGTGATAGTCTGCAAACGAAGGACATTTTCTCCACTAACTTTTGTATTGAGATACATTTGCCAACAACAAGAACACGCCCAGTGATAACAATCCAAACCACCAAGAGCTGCAGTGTTACAGCAAATTTCGCACTCGCCAACAGAAGAGACTGGAGGAGGCGCCGGTTTTCGGGGTAGGACTTGGGCTTTTCGCAAGAAGGCATCAGTATCAGGGTTTTCATAATATCTAGATAAGGAACGCTAGCGCAGAACATAGACTTTTAGCAAATGAACGCACCTCTCTAAAAGACTTTCCTTATTCCAGTTGAATTTATGAAGAAGTATACGACAGTGCCCGCGACCAATTCTAAGTATGGCTGACACCTCGTCTATAATCTCAT